AAATAAATAAAAAGCGTCTCATAAATTCTGTCCATTGAATATAGATCCCTGTGAGATTAGTGCTAATACGAGTATATTATATATTTGAAAACAATAGGAACAAGACCTCTCCAATAAAAAGGAACAACAACAAAAACTCAAAAACAAAAACAAAAACAGAAACAAAAAAAAAACTCTGAGGCACTTCACTGTTGTAACTAAAACCACACACCTAGAAAGTGGTAAAGTCAGTTACATACGAACCTTTTCACTTCATTATTCTGATTAAGGTAAACATATGTGAATTGAAAGTTGCACAGAGAAATACATATGTACATGGCTGATGAGAAAGTAGAGATTTGGCCACGAGGGCATAGATATGCCAAATAAAAGTAGCCATAAAAACAGTTCATCACAGTCTCCATTCACTTTGATTTTTTTCCTTCATTGTTTTCTAGTGTGAATTATAAGCAAGGCATATTTATAAAGTTATGGATCAGTAAGTAAGACAATCCCAAAAGTATTAGATTGAATCATATAATTTTTCAGATATTCTACTATTATGACCTACAAAAGTGGCATTTTAAACCTAAGAACACATTTAATTAATAATTACTGTCCAAGTGTATTATATTATTATTGTTAAAAATGCTCCAAATAATCAATATTGTTAACTTGGATCCTGAAACCTGATCTCGATTAAGTGGGGAATTGCCAATAGGGAGGACATAATTCAGAAATGAAATGTTACTTTAAGCGATTGAATATATATACACATTATAATAAAGCAGGTTTGTATGTCTAAATAATATAGAGATTTTTAAAAACAGTGGTACAGATCAATGGTTGTTAGAGGGTCCATGAAGTCAATATCACTTTCATAATAATATTAAGATATTACTTAGAGTTTTCACTCTCATTTTCTCTCATGAGTGTACAAAGAGTTTTTCAGAGGATATTCCAGTAGACCGTATCACATTGCAATAGATTGAATACCAAAGCAGATATGAAAATTCAATTACTCTCCATAAAGCCTGACATTAGTGCATTTTCCAAAAATATGATCAATGCTAGTCTTCTCACTACCTGATTTTGTTTAAAAAACATGCATTCTACTTGGGAAATAAAAATGTTACTAACTTTTTATATAAAAACACTAATTTTTATATAAAAATCACCATGGTGATTTGATTTGCTAATTTTATTTTTTTAAATATTATTTAGATTAGCATATAGTTGGTTACTATACTATTTTAATTACTAAATAAATAGGTTTTAAAGCTTCCAGTTTTAGTTTCAATATGGTAAATAGTAATTGTTATAACCCATACACACAAAAGATCTTGGAATTCAGAATAACTTTAAGAGTATAAGGTTCATACAACCAAAAGTTTTAGAACTGTCAGAAGAAAACAAGAAAATGTTTGTTCAATCTTTAAACTTTTTCCTCACTTTTACAATTCTCTATGATAAAGACCTTTGTAGTCCTTGAAATATGAGAAGTCATTTAAAATAGATTTATTTAAAAACACTTACAGCATTTTATTCATAACATGAAAAATATTGAGCTCTTTAGAAATAGCTCCATTTGCAAAATATATTTATAACTTAACCAAAATAAATAATTCATACCTCACCAAGTGAATAATAACGTCTTGGGATCTGGGAGTCCGGATAGATGTTTTCTAGGTACCAAGAAAAGGGCTTACACTTCAGATTTTCTCTTAGTGTTTTTCTGACTGACACATCTCCATAATCCACTTTGACAACACCTGGAATTTTTCAGAGAAACACAAATCAGTTTGTGCTATTTTTGTTTAGCACTGTTTCCCTCTGTTTACTCTGCTATCAGTTTTTTCTTTATAATTATAATTTCATTAAATTCAATTGCATATGCAGCTGATAGTGGTTTTCCCACTACCATCCAATCAGTACATATACAGTAAATAGGTATAAATAACAGTTCTTTCATTGGTTATGACTTTTCAAATGCAAATATTTATCACCAAGTACTTATACTTCTTAGATTGAATAATTAAATGTGAGTTGGTATTAATTTAGTATCTCATATTCAAACTTAACTAAGCTATTATTATGTGTCTGTTTATCTTTAATAAAAAATTCCAAAAGCTCCAATGTTTTTGATTATGCTTACATTTTCACTGTAGAGTCATTTATTTACAACCTGTAGATTTTATGAGAAATTTCTATAAACATGAGTCTCACAATGGAATCAACAGATGTGTTCCAACTTTCCCTTCTTCTTGAATTTCTATTCTATCCAGGTTTAACATAATAACTGGATTTTTTTCTTTATTCTTTTCCCCTCATGTTTAAATATGTTATTACAAGCCACCTAAAGTCCTCAGAAAAGTTATTACACAAATAAACATAAATAAATTAATATAAGCAAATGAACAGAAATATATTCACAGGTACATATTGAAATTTCTTAATTTTATTTCATATAATAGCAGAATATTTGAAATTTAAGGCAATATTTCCATTGAAAATTATAACAGGATACTTTCTACTTGGGAAATAAAAATGATAATGTTACTAATTTTTTATATAAAAACCCATGGTGATTTGATTTGCTCATAATTATCAATATTAAAAATGACATTTGATGGAACTGACTAACTGTAACAAGAGCATAATTATTTCTTTAGATTATTTTGAAAATATTTCAATATTCAA